AGGAATGAGGTAACCACCTAAGAATAGAATAGCTGTCAATGTGGAGATAAGTAGTATAGAGCCGTATTCGGCCAGGAAGAAGAAGGCAAAAGGAAGAGCTGAATGTTCCACGAAGAACCCTGCGACGAGCTCGGATTCTCAGACGTACATCCACGTTCTCTCAGAGCATGGCAGGACTATATCTTCATCCTTCAGCGGATGCTCCGCGGATAGTCTCTGAGGGCTCCCTTAAAGGAGCCCTGCTGATTGCCCATCATAGAGGGATTATGACCCAGGCGGTGTCGCTGTGGCTGTGCCGGCACACCGCCACCGCGACAGCCGCGCTCATGGGGTTTCAAGCATATGGCGGAGTAATGATACTACACCTTGCGGTGTTGAACGGCATTATTCTGCCTCAGGCAAGTCGAAAGGTGGGCGGTTCGTTTCAGCTAATATGACTATGATCCATAGAAGTGAGAGGGGTAATAGAGGGATTACATACCAGATCCCTTGTTGGCTCTCGACTATAACAGTCAGGCTAAGCGAGCCAGAGGCCGCGATGATGACTAGAACAACCATAGCAAGTGGCAGCTCATAACTCACAAATTGCGCCGTCGATCTTAAGGAACCAAGGAAAGCGTATTTAGAGTTAGCAGACCAACCAGCAAGCAGGACCCCATAAACACTTAAAGAGGAAACGGCCAGGAGGAATAGGAGACCAAGGGTGAGATCACCAAGGGATGTCCCCTTGGCAAAGGGTATCACGGCCCAGCTCAGGATGCTTAACGTAAGGGTTATGGTAGGGGCCAAGATGAAAAGTGCTCTGTTGGCTCGGGTAGGAAAAATCGACTCCTTGAGAAGGAGCTTCAACCCGTCGCTAAATGGTTGCAAGACCCCGTATACACCGACGACATTAGGACCAACACGCCGCTGCATAGCGCCCATTACCTTACGCTCACCAAGAGTCATGTAGGCGATATTCACTAGTAATGGAACAATTATAATTAAAGACTCCAGTAAAGAAATCAACATGATAGTTGTTTAAAATACAGGGGACCTCTTAGTCTACGGAACATCGTTAGGGGGGGGGGACTTGGGGGAATTTGGAGAAGATTCAGAAGCAACAGGTAGTTCAGTGATGGAAAGGAAAGCAGTAGGGCTAGACATAAGCCATTCATGCGTTCTTCGTTTTTTTTGTATTATATATATAATCCAAAATGCGTTTTGTGTAATTTTTTATAAACCGTTTTATATCGATATATATATTTTCTTTTTTTGGTTTATATTGCTCGTTTTTTATATATATTCTCTTTTTTGTTTTTATTTATAAATAAAAAACAAAAAGAGAATATATATAAAAAACGTGCGAATAAAAAAAAACCAAATCCAAATCCAACCAAAGAAAATATATAAATATATATATATAAAACAGTATAGAAAACCAATTGTACAAAAAACGCGAACACTGCGTTTTTTGACTGCTTAGCGTTTTTTGTACAATTTTTTTTATGTTATGTGTTATATGTTTTTTATACGTCCTATTGTTTTTTATATATATATTT